AATGCAGTTCGATTTCGATATGAAACGTGGGCCTGCCGGGAACCCCTCTTGCCCAGGAGCAGGGAGCTCTGGCCCTGCGCTCACATGCCCTCACGCCACCACTGCTGTGCCCTGAAGGGGCTCGCTGGTCTGCTTGCGACGGAGCATTGAGCAAACAGCCCTGGGTTGAGCTGACGAGCATGTCAGACCATTCGCAGCTGCAGCATCTGCTCCTTTGTACCCATCAGCGCAGCAAAGAGCAGCTAGTTCCACGCGCTGTCTGAAGCGATCGCCTGTCGCTGTGGCAGCCGGGGGCCGAGCAGCAGACAATGCAGAGGGGGAGTAACGGTTTTAACATGCAGATCTGTCACACAAGTGGTTCAGGCAGATGCTGCCAGCTCTGCCAACTGGGGAAGGCGTGACGAGGAGTGGAAGGGGAACACGTGTTTTGGTGCCTGCCCTGCTGTAATTGACAAGCGATCCATTATTATCCAGGTCAGAGTAAAACAACCCTCGCTCCTGCACCCTCCCAGACTTGCATTAGCCACGTCACAAGTGCAGACTGAAGCTATTTATCAGCTATTCCAGCAAGGACTGTATCAGTCTAGGGACTAATTGACGCACATTCTCTGTTCACCTGTGAGCTGGAAGGGTTCAAAGGGCAGTGCTCTGAAGTCCAGTCGGGATGAAGGTCTCTGGGACAGAGGCTGGCTGTAGCTCTGCCATGACTGTACCTGACACAGCCTGACCATTGTTCGTTCACAAGCTGGCAGCTGAACGTTGACTCAATACTGATTTGAACCTTCGCCAGGCAGAAGGAAAATGCTGCTTCCCTTTGGTTTCAATCCTTTGCATTTATTACAGCTCACCGCTGCATTTGCCGCTGCTTCTGTCGGTCTGTGGCCACGTGACTGCGTCCTGCTGGTGCCAAATGAGGCGAAGGGTCGACTGGCGAGTGGTAACTGAGCGTCTAGTGGACGTGGGCCTGATCCGTCCTCCACACGCCCAGCCCACAGTCACTTACCCCTATGCCGCACTGCTATTAACTAGGGCCAGAGCCATGGAGGATCCTAGCAAAGTTCACCACTCAGGTTGGACATTTATTCCAGCATGGCTCTAGGTGAGCGAGTGGGCCTTATGCCCAGGGCCAGCCTTACCATGAGGCGGCCGCCTCGTGCCAGACTGTGGGGGGAGAGGGGCGACCGCAGGACGCAGCGCAGGACACTGTCCGCTGCGGGAGCAGATGCGGTAGCGGAGCGGCCCCCGAGAGGACAGAGCAGGAAGGAGGCAGAATTGAACCTGCCAAAGATTTGTCCCAAGCGAGGGGCAGGGGGGAGTCATGTGAGCTCCCCCCTCAGGTGCCAAAATGTTGTGGGCCGGCCCTGCTTAGGCGAGGTAAGCCTCATATTTACATGTGCAAGCAGCAGGCTGGAGCCCCTGGCCTTGGCTTTTCTCTTCCTGCTAGATCTCCCAGGGTACGTCTACGCAGCCGCTATTTAAAAATAACTTTCCTAGCGTCTACAGAGCCAAACCGCTATTTCAAACTTCATTTGAATTTAATTCGAAATAGCGGAGCGCTTATTTCAAATTTGGTAAGCCTCATTCCACGAGGAACAACGTCAAATTCGAAATAGCTATTCAAAGTGCATTGTGAAATAACACTGTAGTGTAGACACCCCAGAAACAGAAGTAGCAATGCAGAGCAAGGCCAGCAGGGATTATTTGCAGACAAACTTTGCTCCTTTTTTTAAATGATGGATTACGAAGCCCAACCCGTGATGGTATCGAGGCGCCCAACTCTCATTCATGTGAATGGATTTAGGAGCCTGCGTTTGAGGAGCTGGCCGAGGAGAAGGGGCCAGACTTAACAAACCTGAATTCCAGCCCAGTGTTTCTCGCCAAGTTAATTCTTCCTGCCCGGGTGAAGGTGCCATACAGCCTGGGAACTGGCCGAGGCCCAACAAAGGACGACTCGAGGGGGCAGTGAGTTTGGGGCAGGGCTCAAGGGATCTGTGCAGACATCAGGCTCGTCCGAGCCTCTCGCTATTGCTCTGGAGAGGGAGTGAAAGAGACCAGAATCCTGCCTTGTTCTCAGCAGGCTGCTCAACGTGGCCAGCCCCGGGGTTTCACGCAGGCAGGATAATAGGGCTCACCCAGATGACAGGATTTTCATGCCATCTAGTGGCTCCAGGATTTCCTCTTTCCTGCTTTCCACAGCATAGCTCCTTCCAGGGCCCCCGGCCCGTCTCCACACAGCAAGGTTGGCCGTTGGTGGGTTTGTGAAGCGACAGGCCACAGCGAGCAGCAGCTGGACCCACCCTGCTGGGTGTAACCACAGCAGTAACAGGGGGCCTGGCAGAGCCTTCCCCTGCCAGCACCCCTCCCTGCTGCTGGAGTCTTCTCCTGCAGAGGAACACCAGAGCAGCAATCTAGACAGGGAGCCAGGGTGGGCGAGTGGAGAGCCCAGGAAGGGACTGCCTAGCTGGTCCCCATGGCTACTTAGGCCCCTGCTAGGGAACACGCATGCAGGCACTCGGACTGGCAAAAGAGCAGTGCAGATGACCTGTTAGCAATGGCTACTTAGGGAACACGCATGCAGGCACTCGGACTGGCAAAAGAGCAGTGCAGATGACCTGTTAGCAAAAGCCTGTGGCAGCCAGCCGGGTCTCGTGCAGTGCGCTGTTTTCCTGCAGCCTTTGAACAATCAGCATCAGGTGCTGCCAAGTCATCTCATCCAGCGGAGTGTAAGGATGGGCTTGTGGTTAAGACCATTCAGGGAATCTGGGGGCAGTTGCACCTCTGCCACAGGTGTCCTTTGTGGCCTTGGCCAAGTCACTTAGTCACAAATCAACAGAAGGCAGGCGGCTGTGAGGATAGGGACCCTAGTTTCTCTGTACTTCAGTAAAGTGGGGAGAATTGCTCTTCCTTTATCTGGCATTTTTGTATAGCCTGGGGCAGGGCCTGTGCCTGCATAGCGGGGTACAAGTCTTCGTGGTGCTTCTGTGTTGCTATAATAATCATAAGGAATGTCTCTGACCTGAGCCCACACAACAACGCTTGTTCCTGGCCAAGCTCTTCTGAATCAACCTGGCAGTGAGATTTCATGACTATCAATTATTTCACTAAAACTCTGGTCTAAGACAGCAACTGGTGCCCTTCTGCCTACTGATTTGTAATTCTACCCAAAGAGCTGCTCTTTATAAATCAGGCTGCCTTTTATCAGCGTGGTATCTGGGGGCACTTGCATCCAGTTGGAAGCACACCAGCTCCCTCAAGGAAGAGGGCCAAAAGTCTTCTCCCCTCCCCCTAGATTAAAACTGCTTATGCAAGTGGAATCAAATGTCGGTTTATGGGCTCTCCAGCAGCAGGAGCTCTTTCGCAATGCCGTGAGGAGGACATCTTCCTTCATTCGCAGGGACTTGGACCTTCCGCAGGCTGTTCTGAACCCCAAAGTCGAGGGGCTCACAGCGATGACCAAGCTCGTCCCCTCTTCTAAAGCAGCAGCTGCACCCAATGCTGATGTCGGCGTGTGGGGATATAGAACATGCCCATAATGCAGCTGGAGCTAAGCCAGACCACGGGGCTGGAGGAAGTGGAGTGCAGGGTGCTGCAGAACTGAAGGAAGGGTGACTGTAGGACCAGGGTTGCTCTGGCCGAGACCAGGGAAAACAGGAAGGTGTTTCTATTGCCTCCACTAAGCCACTAACGGTGGATCCTTTTGCGTGGTGGTGTCTGGCCACCCAGCTTAAAGCCTGGGCTGTCACCCTCCCCTCTGGCTAGTGCTCACGCTGGCTGCAGAACACCCGCCGCGTCCCACCAGGAAGCCATTCCTCCAAAGGGCCAGCTCCCTGCAGGGGCATTTCCCGCAACCTGTTGCTGACCTCACTAACTCCTCTCTGGCCCTCGCATGGCGGGGTGGGAAGGTCCACGTGTGTGGTTCCAGGGGAGCCTGCTCACTTAGCCATTGCTCTAAGGCTGGGGGAAGGGAGGAGCAAAGGGCTCGCATTCCCCTAGCACCGCCATGGTGCCATCCCCATAGGTGCTGTACATACCCATGGTAAGAGTCGCCAAAGCACCGCACTACAGCGATCCAGGCAGTGATTTGTCCACGGGCCAAGCTGGGAGTTACAGCCACATGTGCCAGGCCCCACTTCGCTGCCTTCCCCTTGACACACGCCTCCCTCCGAGTGGCCATGGAGGAACCCCCGAGGAAGGTGGTGGGCCGGTGGCAGACCAGAGAGATCACTTGTTTCAACGTCAGTAGCTACTTAGAAAACATGCGACCCGCTACCAAAGTGCATCTCCCTCGTTACATTCCCACACGGAGCTGCCAGGGGACTCCAGCCACTTCTCACCCCTCGAGCCGCGGTCAGTAGAATCTCAGCCCGGGCAGCTCCAGGGAACATGCACTGTTGCTATGGGTCTCCACCAAACCCTGCAGTTCTATAGATCGCCAGGTGGCCTTGTCCACTCACAGCTGGGAAGCGGGATGCAGGCCCTTGGTCAAGATTTACATGACAGACTGTTCCACAGCGTGACTCCGGAGCGATTCCCACTTCCATGTCACTGAGATCGGAATCTGGCTCCTGTGTTTTCAAGCACAGGAGCAATTGACAGCAAACAGCGCAAATGCAGGTTAGGTACTTCAGTTGACAGGATTCCCCACAGCCCAGTTTTGGCCAGAGTCAGAAGAGTGCAGAGCAAATCTTCTCTAGTTCTATGGAGCATTACATCACTGCTCCGGCGGGCGGCTCGGAACAAACACCCCCTCTGTTGCGCAAAAGGAAAGACATTTAGAAGCAGATGTGAGGAGAACAAACCTTCTCCATAAAAGATTAAATAAGCAAGAGATGTTCAAAGCATTTTGCGGGGGAAATGGTTCATGCTGTGATTCATGTGTTGGTGTTGCCATGTTTAAGGACTCCATTACATTGAAGAGAAAGTGAATGCTTCCTGCTGGGAAACAGCAAGAGATTCAAAGAAGAAACTACACCAGACAAGGAAAAACCCCACACGGCAGGAAGAGGAGAAAATTACATTTAATTATAAAAAGGAAGGGGGTTCAGCCAACTCCCCGACTGTCAGTGACACTACAATCATGTCATTCCTTCCTAACAGCGTATTTTCCTGAATATTTTCTTTTAAATCCCTCTTCATTCATCCTAGTTACTATGTGATGAAAGCCCGGGGAAGTCAAAGACCATGAACTCTTCTTAATCCTTGCACACGGAGAACATTTTAACAAGGACTAGAGTGTTTTTATTGGTATCAAAGGGAATTATTTAAACCAGGATGAATTCAACTATGTCAATATTTTCTTCTTCCCCTCCAATGTCTACTGCTGAAGCTTAATTTTAAAAGCCCCATCCTTCACTTCTACATCAACACACACAGTGGAGGGTTTTACAAGAAGGGGGTGGATGGTCTAAAATAAGCCTCTGATATGGCGAGGTTCACTGGTTTGGGCTTATGGCTTGGGAGAAAGGGCAGGAGAGTTACAGCCCGAAATCAGTGCTTCAGTTTATCAAACCTAACTGGAAGCCAAGGCCAAGAACAAGGCCTGTTCCATACGGATCTTAGTCATTCAGTGGTGACTCCTGTCCTGCCACCAGCCCGTTCCAAAGAGCTGGAGCACATGGACCAGCTCTAGAACTCTGTGGAATAAGGAGGCCAGCCCCAATCTGCACAGGCGCACCTGTCATTTCAGACAGAGCGCCCAGTGTGCATCAGGCTATTTGCATGGCAAGATGGCAATAAGGAATCAGACTCAGCCTGCTGATGGACCGGATGGCACTCAGGAGAAGAGATGCACAGGGATTCAGATCCACTCCTGACCGGGTGTGTTGTGTACACAGCAACTGGAGGTGTGAGTGCAGCTCAGGGAGACCTAACTAGCTCACACAGCAGCAGAAAGGAAGCTGCGAAGCATGGACTAGGTCCAGGGCTGGTCTGTATAGCGCACGCTGCTAGAGCTCCCCAGCTCTCGTTCCTAACTAGCTAGATCTAAGCTAGCTTGGGCATGTCTACACATGCTGCAGTCACATCTTGGACTGCCGTGTAAACACGTCTGTTCAGATATTTCTGTCTGACATACTAGCCTCTAAGAGATTCACCTTGAGGCTGATGTCGACTTTGCTCTCACTCCAGGCTGTGTGGGAAAGATGCTTCTCTCCAGAGCATCTTCGGTACCAGAAGAGGTGATCCACTGGTCATTTTGCCATTAGATAAGGTGCATTTAAAAAAACCCCTTAAATTCTTTAAGGTAATTCTCCCTGACCACCTAGTAGACCCCATCAAGTGGTATCTCTAGTCCCAACGGCTAGAACTACACTGCTACCAATAGTAAATGCAAACTAAAACAACCCTGAAAGGGAATTCTGTGAGAAAGGAACGGGCGTCTAACTGCCACTCAGGCTAGTGGAAGAGGAACTAAGGACTTTAGGGGTGGGGGGGGGTAGAGAGCGGGCTGCACATTTTACTGAAAGGGCAGGAATATTCAGACCAAGTATAAATGCTGTCCAAAATTTACTGGTTGTGTGGCTACCATGGCATGTACCTGTGGCATCCAACACCCTGGCCACTAGCCACATGTGGCTATTTCGCCAGCTTAGTGTGGCTAGTTCACTATAACAGTCTGCTTCAGAACTGGTTGGACACCACGGGCACATCTAGTAACACACCCAGGAACAGGGAAAATTGAATCAGACTGAGAACCAGATAGTCTCAGCTGCAGAATTCTCTGTCAGAAGGGTGGACCAGTCACTGTTCACACACAGCACTGGGAAGCGTACTGCACGGACAACCTGCACTGCCAGACTGACAAAATGGAGGAGCCAATCAATAGGTCTTTCCCATTTAACATCTAGACTTAGATAAAACAACATTGGGGTGTGACTGGAAAAAGTACACTCCTGCACACTGGGAACCGAGCGGAGAAAAACTGGTCCAATTCTGATCTTATTTATTTTATATCATCTAATTCCATGGACTGCAACTGAGTTACACCTGATTCACGCTTACGAAAATGGAAAGAATCAGATCTATTTAATACTTGATTCCTTTTCTGGTCCATGACAAAATGTAGTGCTGAATCAGACAAAGAAATTACCAACTGTGAATTAAAAACAGCCTTCCAGTATGGAACATGTTTTGGTAAGTACTCTTACAAGCGGGGAAAAACCCAATTTCTTTCCTCCAATGCCCATCTATTCTCCCCAGGTCAAACTTCTGTGTTTTAATAAATTATGGCAATATAAGAATCTTACGATGCCATGAGGTTACCCCCAAACACCAAGAATTTAAATTCACATGAAGTAAAAAAGATAAACACATTGACTGAGGCTTGAAACTTTAATTCTAAAATGATACCCAAGATGGGACTAGTAAGAGATGGTATCATGCCAATGCAAATGGAAAATGTTTTAAAACCCATCTCCATTTTAAGTAAATTTGAGTACATACTACATACATGTACTTAATTGTCTTTTACGCTAGCTTTTAAAAAAATATCAGGTAAAGTTTGCTACTTAAAATCCAGTATGTGTGTGATGTTAACCTAATGAAATGAAAATATACTAAAAGTTTGTATTCATAACATTAATAATTGCAACAAACTTAGTTACTTAAACATGTAACTAAAAACAGAACTATTTCATATAGAATTTATCTGCCAATTAAGTCTACAATGGAAAAATACTTGCTAATGTTTTAAACATTATTAAAAATGGAATTACACTTCATTATTGGATTAAAACAACTGCACTTTTAAGGTTTGGAATAGTACACAGTATATTTGCATAAGCTACCTACAAGGCTTTTGAATACTTGTAGGTACTAATTACCATTTAGTGAAAAACATTTTTTGTACATTTACCACAAACACATACTCTTCAGAGGAAAAGAGAGAAGATCTGTTCTGTATGTATGAAGAAACATCAATTTATTATAAAAACAGATAGAAGATCTGAGAATTAAGTGGAGACAGCAACATTTAAGCACTAACGTTAGAGCTTCTGAATGAAATGTAGTTTCAAACTTGCAAATCAAGGTGAATGTAGCGCCTAACATGCTCTCTTCTCTCTATAAATGGGATGAAGTAGAGAAGCAAAGCTTCAAGGTATAAGGATTAGAGCCATCTGTGGGAAATAAAGCAAAATTAAATATTCAGTATAATCTTTATTATATACATAAGGACGGCTAGACTGGGTCAGACCAAAGGTCCATCCAGCCCAGTGGCCTCTCTGCCCACAGTGGCCAATGCCAGATGTCCCAGAAGGAGTGACCGAACAGGGAATAATCAAATTATCCCTCCCCTGTCACCCATTTCCAACCTCCGACAAAGTCTAGGAACACCATTCCTACCCACCAAAAGGAACACCATTCCTTTTGATAGCAGCCTTCAACTTCCTGAAGGGAGGTTCCAAAGAGGATGGGGAGAGGCTGTAGGGAAGTACTGGAATGGGTTACCTGGGGAAGTAGTGGAGTCTCCATCCCTAGAGGTGTTTAAGTCTCAGCTTGACAAAGCCCTGGCTGGGTTGATTTTGTTGGAATTGGTCCTGCCTAGAGCAGAGGGCTGGACTTGATGACCTTCTGAGGTCTCTTCCAGTTCTATAATTCTATGATACCCATCCCAGCTAACAGCCACTGATGGACCTGGCCTCCATGAATTGATCTAGCTCTTTTTTGAACCATGTTAAAGTCCTGGTTTTCACAACATCCTCTGGCAAGGAGTTCCACAGGTTCACTGCACGCGCTGTGAAGAAAAACTTCATTTGTTTTAAACCTGCCACCTATTAATTTCAATTTGGTGACCCCTAGTTCTTGTGTTATGGGAACAAGTAAATAACTTTTCCTTATTCACTTTTTCTACACCAGTCATGATTTTCATAGAATCCTAGAACGGAAAGGGGCCTCGCGTCCAGTGCCCTACCTTCACAGCAGGACCAAACCATTTTTGACCGGGGGTCACTTCAGAAATTTTAAGTGGGCTCAGGCTGCCCCAGAAGGGGCGGAGCCTCAGGCGGAAGGGATGAAGCCAGGACACTCCTGTGCTTTCCCACCCACAGACCCTGACTGGCAGTTCCCTCTAGGTACCTGTGTCCCTCGTGGTAGGAGGAGACTTTGCATGTTCTCCACTGCTGTCTGCAGGTCAATCAGAGCCTGGGGAGCGGAAGCACGTGAAGTCTCTTGCTCCCTGCCCCCACCCTGCAAGGGGGCGTCGCAGCTGGCAGTTGACTAAGTGCTGAGCCCCTTGCAGGGCGGAAGGAGACTTCACATGCCTCCCCTGCCTCCACCTGTGTCCCTCGTGGTAGGAGGAGACTTTGCATGTTCTCCACTGCTGTCTGCAGGTCAATCAGAGCCTGGGGAGCGGAAGCACGTGAAGTCTCTTGCTCCCTGCCCCCACCCTGCAAGGGGGCGTCGCAGCTGGCAGTTGACTAAGTGCTGAGCCCCTTGCAGGGCGGAAGGAGACTTCACATGCCTCCCCTGCCTCCTAGCCCATCCCCCCCCCCCCGCCAATCAGGGCTTGGGGGCAAGGGAGAGCGCACAAAGTCTCCTCCTGCCCTACCCCTGTCCTGCAAAGAGCGTGCGGTGCTTAGAAGTACCAACTCCTCACAAGGTGGGAGGAGACTTCACATGCTCCCCCCACCCGCAATGACCTGGAAGGCAGGGGAGCAGCAGGGCCTCCGCAGGCCGGATCAAATCACTTGGCAGGCTGGATCCAGCCCGTGCAGGCCCTTGTGCCTACCTCTGGTCTAGATCATCCCTGACAGGTGTCTATCCAATCGGTGCTTAAATATCTCCAGCAATGGAGAGGCCACAACCGCCCTCGGGAACTTGTTCCAGTGTCTAACCACGCTGACAGGAGGTTTTTCTTAAACCTCCCTTGCCGCAATTTAACCCCATTGCTGCTTCTCCTATCAAAGGCCAAGAACAAGAATTTTTTTCCCTCCTCCTTGTAACACACTTGAAATACTTGAAAACGGCTCTCATGTCCCCTCTCAGTCTTCTCTTTTCTAAACTAAACAAGCCCAATTCTTTCAGTCTTCTTTCATAGCTCATGTTCTCTAGACCTTTCATCAGTCTTGTTGCTCTTCTCTGGACCTTCTCCAGTTTCTCCACATCTTTCTTGAAATGTGGTGCCCAGTTGGGGCCTAACCAGCAGAGTAGAGCGGAAGAATGATTTCTCATGTCTTGCTCACAACACACCTGTTAATGCAGCCCAGAATCAGGTTTGCTTTTTTTGCAACAGTGTCACACTGTTCACTTATATTCAGCTTGTAGTCCACTTGACCCCTAGATCCCTTTCTGCAGTACTCTTTCCTAGACAATCACTTCCATTCTGTATTTTATAGACCTCTATCCTATCCCCCCTTACTCTCCCCATGTATAAGATGCAAACCCCAAGTCTTTTTAACCTCTCTTCATACGGGACCCATTGTAAACCCCTAATCATTTTTGTTGCCCTTTTCTGAATCTTTTCCAGTGCCAATATATCTTTGTTGAGATGAGGCAACCAAATCTGCACACAGTATTTAAGATTTGAAGCATATTTAAGATTTTAAGTATTTGAGCAGTTTAGAATCATCTGCAAATGTTGCCACCTCATTTGTTTACCCCTTTCTCCAGATCATTCATAAATAAATTGATTAGGATTGGTCCCAGGAAAGACCCTTGAGGGACACCATTAGTTATCTCTCTCCATTCTGAAAACAATCCATGAGAGGACCTTCTCTCTTATCCCATGACAACTAACTTTACTAAGAGCCTTTGATCCCACATTTTTCAACATTAAATGTCATTTGCCATTTTGTTGTTGAAGCATATTTAAGATTTTAAGTATTTGAGCAGTTTAGAATCATCTGCAAATGTTGCCACCTCATTTGTTTACCCCTTTCTCCAGATCATTCATAAATAAATTGATTAGGATTGGTCCCAGGAAAGACCCTTGAGGGACACCATTAGTTATCTCTCTCCATTCTGAAAACAATCCATGAGAGGACCTTCTCTCTTATCCCATGACAACTAACTTTACTAAGAGCCTTTGATGGGGACCCTGTCAAAGGCTTTCTGGAAATCTAAGTGCATGATATCCACTGGATCCCCCTGGTCCACACGTGGAGACACTTTGTACTGAAAATAGAATATGCCTAGGGGAAAATCAGAGGGGAAATCCATGTTTTATACAGCAATTTGTTTTAAAAAAATCTTAAATAGATTGACTTACTTGGGACTCTTATCTGGTAGTGATTAAGTACAGTGAGGGCTTCCACTGCATCTGTCTTGCATTCCCATTCCAGCAGACCAGAGAGTGTTTTGGCAGAAGCTGGTGGAATGAGGGAGAGTCAGAATTTCTTGCTCCCAGGACAAGTAATTTTAAAACATTAATTTTATCTAAAACCAAAAATGTACTTACGTTTCGGATCAAAGACTTTATATTTGATGAAAGGGAGAACTTCATGGTCATCACACAACTGCCACAGGAATAAAGAGATGAAAATATGACCCCGGTTAAGACTGAAATGCCCATTCCCAAACAATAAAGTAGTAACTCACAACACCTAGCTGGAAACTAGCTTAGAAACCCTTGCATTTGACAAATGAGAATTGGATGTTATTTAGCATTCTCTGCACTTGTAAGGGGAGCATCACAATGAAGGAAAAAAATTAAGACCCCCTTCTGCTATGAGAGAGGTGTGAGAAAGATGGGAAAATAATAATTTTCTAACATGAAATGCTACCTGCTGACTATCTGGGAGAACAGAGGCACCCAAAACAAAAAACGTTCAGCCTCCTAGAGATAATTGCCAGTAAATGAATAGGTGATGAGCTTTCGTGGGCCAGACCCACCTCCTCAGATCATATTCTGGAAGAGAATTGGCATGACCACATATACTAAAGAAATACAATGAAAAAAGTACATTATTAAACTGACCAATCAGATTTAGTACAGAAGGTGGGGTCAGGAAGAGGGAGGGAGGGAATAGCTATTTATGCGTCAATGAATGGCTAATCAGGGGTGATAAATGGGGAAGCTATCTTTGTAACGGTTAAGGTAATTAGCATCTTTGTTAAAGCCCATTCGTAAAGTTACTCCACCACACTGAGGACCCAGCGGTCTGTAGTTTAAAGCACCAAGCCTGGTAGAAAGGGCAAAGGCAGTGTGAAAAGGTCACTGGGGAAGGATCCATCGTCCTTGACTGTACCTTCAAAATGGGCACCTGGAGGCGGCCTTAGGAGGAGGCAGGCTGCATGGAAGAGTGAGACTTGGACTGCCTTTTTCTAAACCCCTTATAGTTGCTCTGCCCAGAGTCCTGGAAAGGTTGGGAGGACTGAGCAGACACAGTTTGAGGCCTGAATCTCTTACCCAGAGCTGTAAGCTGCAAGACCTGTAAAATGCAGCCTTTTCGAGTCCTTATTTTTGTAAGGTCACTCTGGGCTGTCTTTGCCTTTCCTGAGGGCTTATGGAACACTAGAACTGGAAGGGACCTCGAGAGGTCATCTAGTCCAGCTAGCAAGGGATGTGAAGGGGAACAAGAAAGGTTTCTACAGGCATGTTAGCAATAAGAGGGTGATCAGGGAGGGTGTGTGGCCCTTACTGGATGAGGGAGGTAACCTAGTGACAGACAATGTGGGAAAAGCTGAAGTACTCAATGCTTTCTTTGCCTCTGTCTTCACGGACAAGGTCAACTCCCAGACTACTGCACTAGGCAACACAATATGGGAAGGAGGTGGGCAGCCCTTGGTGGAGAAAGAACAGGTTAGAAACTACTTAGAAAAGTTAGACTTACACAAATCCATGGGTCCGAATTTAATGCATCCAAGGGTACTGAGGGAGTTGGCAAATGTCATTGCAGAGCCTTTGGCCATTATCTTTGAAAATTCATGGAGATCGGGAGAGATCCTGTCTGACTGGAAAAAGGCAAATGTAGTGCCCATCTTCAAAAACAATCCAGGGAACTACAGACCGGTCAGCCTTACCTCAGTCCCCAGAAAAACCATGCAAGGGATCCTCAAGGAATCCATTTTGAACCACTTGGAAGAGAGGAAAGTGATCAGGAATACAGTAGGCAACATGGATTCACCAAGGGCAAGTCAAGCCTAATCAACCTGATTAGCTTCTATGATGGGGTAACTGGCTCTGTGGATATGGGTAAGTCAGTGGATGTGATGTACCTTGACTTTAGCAAAGCTTTGATACAGTCTCCCACAATATTCCTGCCAGCAATTTAAGGACGTCTGGATTGGATAAATGGACTGTACGGTGGATAGAAAGCTGGCTAGATTGTGAGGCCCAACAAGTAGTGATCAATGGCTCCATGTCTGTTTGGCGGTAAGTTTCAAGAGAAGTGCCCCAAAGATTGGTTCTAGGGCTGGTTTTGTTCAACACTAAGCTAGGGGGAGAGGTAGATACGCTGGAGGGCAGAGATAGGGTCCAGAATGACCTAGACAAATTGGAGGATTGGGCCAAAAGAAATCTGATGAGGTTCAACAAAGACAAATGCAGAGACGGGACAGAAGAATACCAAGCACTGATATAGGCTGGGGACTGACTGGCTAAGCAGCAGTTCTGCAGAAAAGGCCCTGGGGGATTCCAGTGGAAGAGAAGCTGGATATGAGTCAACAGGGGGCCCTTGTAGCCAAGAAGGCTAATGGCATATTGGAGTGAATTAGGGGGAACATTTCTAGCAGATCTAGAGAAGTGATTATTCCTGTTTATCCACACTGGTGAGGCCTCATTTTTTCAGGAGTGCTGGATCTTTTGAAAAAGCGTTTTATTTTCAAACAATTCCCATCTAAACAGCCATTTTTCTTTCGAAAAGCCTCTTTTCAAAAAAAACTGCAGTCGTCATTATGCAAATGAAGCATGGGAAATTTAAATCCTGGCTTCATTTGCAATTTCGAAATATCTAATTTACATCCCTTTTTCGAGAAAAGGGATGTAGTTTAGACACACAGCCTGTACATGTGAAACAGATTGTTCCTCCCTAGTGATACTTTGTGTTTGTCCTTATTAAACTCCATTGCATTTACCTCAGTCCATTTCTCCAGTTAGTCCAGGTCATTTTGAATTCTGACCCTATCCACCAAAGCACTTGCAACCCCTCCCAGCTTGGTTTCATCTGCAAACTTAATAAGTGTATTCTCTACGCAAGTGTTTCTCAAGCAGTGGTACGAGTACCCTTAGGGGTACTCGAGAGAAGTCTAGGGGGTACGTCAACACAACTGAAATTTGGAGAAAACTCAATTTTTGTTTTAGTTTTACAGCGTTTTATTATTTTTGTACTTTTACACCCAAAAATTTCATCCCCCACCCAGCTACGATTAAGTTGTTTAAACAAATATGTTTCAATGGTAGAAAAATTTTGTGTGTGTCTTCTGTTAAAAAAAGATTGAGAAACACTGCTCTATGCCATCATCTAAATCATTGATGAAGATACTGAACAGAACTGACCCCAATGACTGTGAACTGTTAATAACTACACTCTGAGAATGGTTACCCAGCCAGTTATGCACCCACCTTATTGTAGCCCCATCTACGTTGTATTTCCATAGTTTATTGATAAGAAGGTCATGCGAGAGCGTAAAGTCTAGAAATACCTTGTCCACCGCTCCTCCCTTATCCACAAGGCTCGTTATCCTATCGAAGAAAGCTATCAGATTGGTTTGACATGATTTGTTCTTTACAAATCCATGCTGGCTTCTTATTCCTCCAGATGTTTGCAGATGAATTCCTCAATTACTTGCTTCATTATCTTCCCTGGCACAGAAGTCAAACTGACTTTTCTGTAGTTTCCTGGGTTGTTCTTATTTCTCTTTTTACAGGTGGGCACTACTATTTGCCCTTTTCCAGTCTTCTGGTATCTCTCCCGACTTCCATGATTTTTCAAAGACAATAGCTAGAGGCTCAGATACCTCCCCTATCAGTTCCTTGAGTATTCTAGGATGCATTTCATCAGGCCCTGGTGACTTGAAGCCATCTAACTTTTCTAAGTAATTTTTATCTTGCTCTTATTATTTTAACTTCTAAACCTACCCCATTTCCACTAGCATCCATATGTTAGGCATCCCTCCATCAGCAAACTTCTTGGTAAAAACCAATAGAAGTCATTAAGCACCTCTGCCATTTTCAAGTTTCTATTATTGTTTCTCCCTCTTCATTGAGCAATGGGCCTACCCGGTCCTTGGTCTTCCTCTTGCCTCTAGTACGTTTGTAGAATGTCTTATTACCCTTTCCTTCTCTAGCTAGACTGAGTGCCTTTGCCTTTCTGGTCTTGCCTCTGCATATTTATGTTGTTTGCTTATATCCATCCTTTGTAATCTGACCTAGCTTCCACTGTTTATGAGACTCTTTTTAGATTTTGAGATCATGTAAGATCTCCTGATTAAGCTGAGGTGGTCTCTTGCCATACTTTCTGTCTTTCCTAAGTTGAGGGCCGGGTGGGAATAAAGGTCCTGATGTCCCTTTGCCAGGACAAAGTACTTCCTTTCCGCCCTTTTAGATATAGGGAGAAATGGAGGAGGGCATCTGTCACAAGGCTGTGGCAATCTGGGCCCTCTGGCCGGGACTGACTGACCCACCCAACACCCTGAAGAGGGTATCCTCCTGCTCTTCAAGTTTCTCCAGTTGGAGGTTCAAGTTGGTGGCCACCTGCTTGAGGAAGTCCTAGTGGGCTTGCATAGCATTGGGGGGCACCACAGATGGAGGTCCCAGGATGCCTCCTCTGGAGACGAGGAGGCAGTGGCCTGTGTCAGGGGGGCCTCCTTCAGGTCAGGGGAGGCCAACACCTGCATCTCAGCCCCTTGCTCCTCCTGCGGGGTGAGAGCACGACAAGCCTCAGGTGCTGGGAAACGTTTCATGGAGGTGGCCAACAGTGCTTTCAGTGTACTGACTACCGAGCGTGGTACCTGGGACACTAGGGAGAATCCCTGGGGCTCTAGAGGTACCACTGAGGTGACCAGGCCTGCAGCCACTTTGCTAATTGGCATCCTGGTTGTGATACTGGAGGCAGACAAGGAGCTTGCACCAGGGCACCAAGGCTTGGTCTGAGGCCACACTGATGGAATGCACGGTGCCAGGGGATGAGGAATGAAGACTGGCATGAGTGTCAGAGGCGGAAAGGTGCCAGGAGCAATTTCTGGTGAACGTCTCCCAATCCAGGATCTGCAGTATGGGTGACAGCGTTCGCCCGTCTCATGACCGGCGCCAATCACCCACAACACCATCTTGTGAAGCTGAGTGGAATCTCCAGCCTCCGTGCGCCTCATGAATGTGCTGCAGGGAGTGGCAATGCTCGTGCCACACCAGGGACCGTTCCCTCGAATGGCGCTCAGACCATGGGAAATACCAGCCCATACTGGGGGTGCATGCCTCTGAAGATCTGTGCCCAAGCCGCAGGAAATCCAACCTGCTGCCCAGGCGAGACTTTCAACATTCCACTGGAGGGGGAATGGTGCCTGTGTGGAGATCAGGGCAGCACCATGGCTGGTTTCCCTTTGTGGCAGGGTCCCAAAATTACCAGTGTGGGCAGTATGGATAAGATGTCCTGGTCTCCACAGAGGCCCCATCAGGAGCTGTTCGATGCCACTCTGAACTGGAGAGTGAGCAAGGGACCCTTGCTCCCAAGAGGCCTGAGGCATCTGCTGAATCACAGCAGGAGAGTCCTTGCCTTGCCTAGGCTTGCGTGGGGCCAGGGCACTGCGTACCAAGGTGCTGGTGTTCAGTGTGGAATCTGAATGCTCATGCACCACTACGACAACCTTGTGACAAAAGTCTCTCTACTGCTTGGCTGAAGGCTTGAAGGACCTGCAAATGCAACACTTACCACTTAGGAGCCTCTCCTAAGCACTGCAAATAGTCCCCGCAATGGAGGTGGGGAGGGTCTCTCACTAGCATGGGCTGATTACAACTGCAATAGAACCTGAAGCCCAGGAATGGGGTATGCCCTGGCCAGAGGCAAAGTCCCTAGGGACCTACACTAACTACTAAAGAGAGTCAACTAACAATAGAAACTACTTACAGGGAAAATAAAGAGCAGCTAAGGAAATGCACAGTGGCTTGAGCAGGCTCCAAGCAGAATGAACTGAGGGTGGACAGGGCCAGAGGTGCCCTATATAGCATGGCATGTGCACACCACTCCAGGGGTGCATGAGCTGGCTCCCCTACAGGTACTGCTAATGGCAAAGTTCCCACTAGTGCATGTGAGGAGCACACACCTACACTGAATGGACACGAGCAATCACTTAAAGAATGAAGAGTTACAAATGAAAAAATGAACCTAGACCTCCTCCCAACCTGCAAGATTTAATGACCGAACCCTCCTCTCCCCCATCGCTCCCTTCAGAGTTCATTGCTGAAAGCTCGATTCTAGGGACCAGGTCTGCACTTATTCCACATGCTCCATCAACCACCATGCACGCCAATGCCCAGCCATATGAATTACACCCCCCACACCTGACCAACATTTACAGTTTGTGCCATACAAGTCCAGACTATCAAGATACTTAACTTGCAGTTCATCTTTGCCCCCAAGCAGGTGGCATTAGCACGTAGTCAAGTGTGAGATCAAGACAGGCTTGCAAACAGATGGTACCATGATGAAGTCAAAACGGCAGGGCACTGCCTACATCAGGGTACGCCGACTGCTTGCCCATAGTCAAATAGGTGTGCAACTGACATTTTACAGGTCAACCAACTGACTTGCCAAGCTTATTTGAGGAACAATAAAGTGGTTAAAATTTAAAACAAAAGCCACCAATATGAATTCTCTACGCTAGCGGTTCTCAACCTTTTTGATACCAGGGACTGACAAACCCATTCACAAACTTTGTTGGACTGATAACATTTACATATTCATTATCTGCATAATGAATATGCAAATATTCAAATAAAATATTACCAGTCTGCCTCCAGAGTCCCCAGTGCCAGTCCTAACCCCTGTAGCCCCCCACTGCTTCACTAGCCACTAACCGAGTCCCCTGCACTGAATCCCCCCAGTGCCAGCCTCCTGCTCTCAGAGCCCCTCCACTAGAACTCCCCAGTGCCAGCTTCCTGTTTCCAGAGCCCCACTGCACCCAACCCCCCCAGAGCCTCTCCTCAGTCCCCCAAATTAGCTCCATCCCCAGAGCCCCCTCAGTGCCAGCCCTGCCCCCATAACCCGCACAGTACTAGCCCTACCCCCAGAGCCCCCCAGCACTAGCCCCGCCCTCTCAACTAGCTTTGTGCTGCCTCCTAGCTGTGCGCTGTTGCCCAGGTCACAGCTGCTCTAAGGCTGCCGTGCCAGGCTCTGCACGGCCTTCCTGCTGCGCAGCAAAGTGCTCCTCCGCGGCCAGGAAGAGATCTCACCCCTGCCCTGACGACAGCCCAGCCCTCAACTCATGCAAGGGATAGGCGGTGTCTGCAGCACAGGCGACAGGGGCAGGGACATGCTGCTGGTGGCTTGCGAGTTCCTCCCCAGGCCATTAACAGTCGGGGCCTAGATGCGCAGTGTCACTCAGCCCGTGTGTCTCAGGCTCGCAGCACCCACCTGACAGCCAGGCGGGGAGGGACTGACCCCCCCTCCCCA